CAGCCAACTCTCAGAGGCGGAGGATATATGGGAAACGGAATGGGGGAGGAGATGTAGGAAGGAAGACGAAGGAGGGATAAGTTGACAGGGCGAGGGCACCGCAAAAAAAAAGAACCCGGGGAAAAGTCTTGGGCGGGAGGGGAGGCGCCCTAGACTGTGGCTCAGGGGCGCCCTGGACTTTGGCCCAGCAGGCGTGGGAAAGTCTAGGGCAGGACGGGGACGCCCTAGACTCTGGCTCAGCGGGCGTAAGCAACAGTCTTGGGCGGCAGGGGGGCGCCCTGGACTTTGGCCCCCCAGCAAGCGCGGGGGGAAGTCCGGGGCGGGAGGGGGGCGCCCTGGCCTTTCTGGTGGGCGATCATCGTGCCACGCTGAATCGCGGCCACGACACCGGGGGCGGGCGGCGGGGCGGGCGCCCCCACCCCAGCCCCCAATGCCTGGGCGAACGGGAGGGGGCGCCGCGCGACGCGCAGCGGCGCGCGGCGACGCGCGCCCAAGCGTTGGGGCGCGAGGCGCCGCGCAGTTCGCCCTGCTCGCATGGGCGCGCGCGCGAGGGGGCGCGCGCCATCCTTGGGCCCGTTTGGCATCCGCGCCGAGGTTTTGTGCCCAGGCGCCCTGGACTTCAGCGTTACCGGGCGCCCAGACACCCCCAGGCGCCCGCTGCGCCCGAAAATGTCCAAGGCGGGCAGGGGGCGCGCAAGGTTTCTGGACCACCCGCCCTGGACTTGGGCCCGGCAGGCGCGGGGAAAAGCCCCGGGCGCCATCCTGCAACGCCCGCGCCGTCAGGTGCGAGGGCCTCGGTGCGAAAAAACAACCGATGCAAAAGTCTAGGGCGGGAGGGGGCGCCCTGGCCTCTGGCCAAGGTGTGGTACTCGTGGGCGGCGGCTGGAATAGTGCACCGCTGCTAGCCGGTGCTTGTTTTGCAGAGCGGCGCGCGCACCTGAGTGCAACACCACGCATCACGCGACCACGAGTTTTGAACCCAAGGGACGTCGAGCTGGCCGAAGCAGAGACGATGAAACGGCCGCCTCGCATTCACGCAAGTGTCCGACGAGCGAGTTCGAAGCTCATGATGTCGGCGCGCTCCGCAGCCAAATCCTCAGCCGTCACTTGCAAGCAAAGCTCGCACAGCATCGCGGCATCCGGCCTGCGCCTCATGGCCCGGCTCGCCCCCCCGGCCGGGAGACGCCGGGAGGGCGGCACGGCGGCGAGCTTGGTCGAGGTCAGGGGCAAGAGAGGCAGGCCAGGAGAGGAGTCCGACCCAGTCATGACGAAGCTGATCCAACAGTCAGTGGTATACAGGGACAAGTCAGAGGAGGCGGTGCCGACAGGGATTCGGGCGCACAAAGAGTAGTTGGAAATGGCCCAGGCAGAGGGCAGCACACGTCAGAGGGGCCCACCAGAGCAGCATCGCTCTGGCGGCATTCTGAGCGCCTTAGAGAGTTGGTGCAACGCCGAGTCGCCCCAGCAGAAGTCGGTGATCAACTTATGCCACGCCCCCCCCATGCTGCCCATGATGCTGCACAACAACGACATGGAAGCGGCAAGAACGCGGATCAAGGATTGTCCGGCGTCCCCGACGCACGGCCGAGAGTTGCACCGCGTGACCTTCAACGCGCAAGGTCTTGTCATCATGCCAAGCAGTCCCGAGCAAGCAAAGGAGCTGGTGGAGAAGCAACGGGAGAACGCGGGGCGTGGTCAACAAAAAAAGTCGGAAGGAAAGGTGCAGGAGACTCTTCCTCTGCTGAAGCGGAGCCCGCTCGAGTTCCTCCCGATGGCTCTAGGCTGCGAACAGATGTAAGTCCACGCCGTATTGCGTTCCATCCTGCGAGCGATGGGCTTCTCGTTCAAGCCAGGCATAGCCCCGAGAGGCGGACTGGTGACGAAGCTGAAGGGCAAAGCCGGCAGCAAGTAGACGAGAGCGAAGTGGAACCCGAACCGCACGTCGATGATGAGCGCGAATTGGGCCTTGATGGTTTCGTTGAGTAGTGGTGTCCAGCCGTTGATACAATTGGTTGCATGTCAGGTATCTGGACGGCTGGGCATCAGATGCAATAGTGGACTGGGATGGCGTGTGCTCGCTGGCTGGTTGGGCATGGAGTGCTGCTGTCTCTAGAGATGGACATGGCTACGACAGCGCTGCGGAAACGCATCTTCAGCGGGTGAGTCCTGCCTGCGCAGTTGAGGGGGCCCTGGGACACAAACAACCAGATTGCCCTATTTTCCCAGACTGTCTGGGTTCTCGTCTCCCCCCCCCCTTCCTATATTTTCCCGCATCTCCTGGGGAATCGAGGATCGATGTGTCTGTGTCTCCTGTCCCTCCAGAATTAAGAGCTGGCGTCCCTGTTGAGAAGGGGGCCTGCCACGCGAGGGCACGCGTGGGCCACGGGGCCCCGCACGCGTTCCAGCGCTGCTCGCGCAGCACACCCGCGCTGCCCCTGCGGTGCGAGCGCCAGCATCGCAAGCCGCGCCGAACTTGCAAGCACGAGGCCCCGAGTCTAGCGCGTGCACCTTCTTATCGCTGGATACTCGAAGGGGGTGAGAAGAAGAAAGAATGCACATCTATATATGCCTCGTCATCTTTCGCCCCCACATCCAGGGGACAGCTTTACCGCTCCAAACGCGCCAGGCACGCTGCACACGAGATCGACTGCCCAGCAGAGACAGCGCAGCTGGTGCCAGGTGCCAAGGGCCTCGAGGTCTCCCCAATGGTGGGCGGGTGGGTCCCTGAGCAGAACGGCGATGGAAAAGAACGAATGCATTTGCCAATCATTACCGGCTGTGTTCTGTCTCACGCAACTCTGCATTTACACGCAAGCTTCGGCCAAGACTCGTCATCTTTCGCCCCCGCATCCAGGGGGCAGCTTTACTGCTCCAAACGCGCCAGGCACGCTGTACACAAGATCGCACTGCCCAGCAGAGACAGTGCAGCTGGTGCCAGGTGCCAGGGGCCTCGAGGTTTCCCCAAGTCCGCCGAAGGTGCATCCAGCGGTGCCGAAGGTCCTCTCAGGGTGGGCGGGTGGGCTTCCTTTATTTTTCGGAGCTCCCTTTGCCTGCAAAGTAGTCATTCAGCACATTCACGAATGTTTGCCCTCGAGCTTCTGACAAAGCGTGCGCGAGGGCTCGGCACAAAGGTATGGGATACTTCTCTGCTACCTTGGTGCGCCAGCCACCTCCAAGCAGCGGTCCGTGCAGAGAGACATGCGGATGGTGCGTGACGCAACACACTGGGCCGGAGCAACGCTGGTCGAGGCTGGAGGGGTTGATGCCATCTCCGAGGAAACGCGTGGGTTTCTTCCACGCTTCTCCGAACTGACAATACTGGGCGGTCACTCTCGAAGCAGAGGACCAGCTCCGCTCGGCTGATGCGTGGCAGCAGCCAGATGCGCGAGGATTCGGGGTTCTCCATGGTCACGGGCAGCTGGCAGCGATGCATCAACTCTAGCATGCTCGCGGAGAAAACGGCGAGGGCGTTGCCGATCTTGACTTGAGCGATGTCGCCGGGGTGCTTCAGCTCTGGGAGGCCCATGAGATGGGCTAGACTGCGCAGGCGGGAGGGCATGCCTGGGCGGGGGCAAGCCGGGTAGCGCAGCCGCCCGCGGTCGCGGGCGACCGTCCAGCTGCTACACGGCGTGCCCAAGCGGGCGCCCCACACCAGGCCAGCTCGGACCCACCCTCGCACTGATCGCGGATTCGCCCTCGAGGTGAGGTCCCACTGCGGCCCATCGAGCAGGTCCCAGGCGAGCGCCAGGTGCCCCTCGGCCATCACTGCGTCTGCCAGGCGGCCGCAGCCGCTGGACAGCTCTATAGACTCTAGGAACACCTGCGGCTGGACGTGCCGTCTGCGCCACGGGGCCAGCAGGCTGCGCATGGCCTCTCGAAGATGGGCGAGCTGGCCCGTCGCTGCCAGCGCGGCCGCTAGCCGCTCTGGCTGCAAATGTCCCAACTGCTGGCCGACTCGCCCTTCCTTTTGGTCTCGGCGCACGGACCGGTCGCTCTCCCATCTTCCGCGCAGCTTTACTTCCGCTAGCGCACGGAGCCCCAGCGCCACGTCGTGCGACGGCCCCGAGTGGTGGAGCTTGTAGAGCTCCACGTCGAGCTCCCCCAACCCGCACTGGACGGCGGCCTCGCGCACTCGGCGCGCGGCCGTGGCCTGGCTGAACTCGAACAGGAGCCCCGACGGCCCAGCGCTCTGCTTCAGGAAACGCAGCACTGGCACCAAGAACAGGAAGTAGTCCAGGTCCAGCGCCAGCGCCTCGTCTGCCTGGCTGGTCTTGCTGTGCGCGCTCTCCTCGGCGGGGTGCAGGATCACGACCCACCTCTGGTGCCTCGTGCCGGCGACGGGCGCTACCACCTGCCTCCCCAAGAGCTGGAAGCCCTCCGACGGCCGCATGCACAGGTGGAAGGTGAGCGCCACGTAGGCGGCGGTGGCCCACAGCCCCTGCTGGACCAGAGCCACCCCCAAGAGGGCCACGGCCTCCCACGGGAGCGGCAGCCTGGTGGCCCCTGGGGCGCGGCGCCGCCAGCCCCTCAGGGCCTGGCACTACCGCGGCAGGCTCAGGTCGCCGTCCCTCGCGAAAACGGGGCGCCAGAACTTGACAGCGGCCGCCATGGCACTGCCCCGGTAGGCCTGCCCCCCGCTCAGGAACTCGCAGTTCGTCCAGCTCGCCAGCAGGTCGTCGATCTCGTAATCCCTCGGCTCCGCGGCTGCAGGCGACGCCCGAGACGTCTTCAAGTGGGCAGCAGCATCGCGATGAGGGCTCGGTACCGGGCGGCAGTCGCCTCGCACACCGACGCCTCCTGCAGCCTCGAGCAGCCAGCAGGCGGGGGCGCCTGGGCAGCAGCCTCGCGCTGGCGCCGCGCCGCCCGCTCCCGCTTGCTCCGCGCCTGCGCCTCGGCCCGCACCAGCGCCTTCGGCCGGCGGGCCTTCGGCTGGACCCGAGGCGCCCGCGCGCGGGCCAGGGCGCGCCCGCCAGCCAGCGCCCGCCTGCCGCCACGGCCGCCGGAAGCCGGCCCAGCGGGCGGATGGCTCCTCCCAGGCGGCGAGTTCCTCGAGCTCGCGGGCGGCCATACTGCTGTCGGCGGCCCGGTCAGCACCCCCGCCCCCGCGGATCGGCCAAGCCGCAGGCTGACCGTCGGGGCGTCGGTGCTCCTGCCCGTCGAAGTGGAGCCGCACCCCGATGGGCATCCGCTGGCGCGGCGGAGCATCGGCGCGGTTCCGCTCCGAGGGGAGCCACCTGACACTGGCCACCACGCCTCCCGCCAGGCACCTCGCGGCAAACTGGCGCGCCACCCGCATCAGGCCGGGCGCTGAGGACCGCCCCTTGCCGAGAGCCAGAGTGGCCGTCATACTGTCGGTCAAAAAGAAGATACTTCGTCCCACGGCACGCGAATCTCGAAGGGCGCGTCGGAAGGCACGCACGAGCGAACGGCCCTCGAGGGCGGCGATGCTCTCGCTCCGCTCCCAGCCCCCGCTCGAGACTACTCTCCACTCCCCCCTCAGCATGTCGATCGGCACGTCCTCGACTCGCTCGGACCCGCCCTTCACCCCGTCGACCTCCTCGAGCACCTCGCGAGGCCTAGCCGGTGTAACTCCTTCGTGATGTCTGTGCCTCCACCTCTCCTGCCGCCCCCCGACCTCCGCCACCTTCTCCGAGTCGAAGTCCCTCTCGACCACCCCTCGGCCCTCCTCCGAGGCATCGCAGCAGTAGAGCCTCTCGAGCCACGGCGCGCGAAGATCGGCACAGACCAAGGGGAGGAGGGCGACAGCCCACCGGAGTCACGAATCACGGATGTTGGAAGCCGACGCCGCTGGTTTCGGCAGCGCGCACAGAACGCATACACTGAATCAGACACCGACAGCACTGGCCCACGCGCAGGGCCGGCAAACGTGAAATGGCCCACCATGCGCTCCACCTGGCGCCCAGTGGCCACGCCGACTCGGATGAGCTCCTGCGCGCCCAGCCTCAGGCGCCAGAGTCTCGTCATCTTCGGCCGCAGCATGCCACCGCGGCCGTCGAAACGCCACCCGAGCAGCTCGGCGTCGGTCGCTGCGAACTCGGGCTCGCGCAGCCGCAAGCCTCGGGCGGCCAGTCCCTGCTGCGCGGCTCTCAGCTGGGCGTTGGCCAGGCCCGCGGAGTCGCCGAACCCCAAAAAGTTGTCAACGTAAGCGGCGCGCAGCCCCTCGCCCAGCGGCCGTGGCACGTGGCCGTCGGAGACCCGCAGCTCCGGGTTGAGCCCCCCCACTTCCTCCAGCGCAATCTCGTGGACCTGCTGGCACAGGGCCAGCGCGTGGGCCCAGCCCATCGGCAGGACCGCCATGCGAGGCCGAACCCAGGCACCACTGCCCGGCACGTCCAGCCCGACTCCCCGCAGCCACTGCCGCTGCGCTCGAGGGAGGTGGAAGTACTTCCGCAGCTCTGGAGGCAGGCCCATCTGGTAGAACGCATCTGGATGTCGATAGATGCGACGAAGAGGTCGGCGCCGTCCGGCAGCTCGACGCCGCTGAGGGCTGCCCCAGTGGCGAGCGACACGCCATCTGGCTCTTGCACGGGCGTCTATGATCAAACGCTGGCGCCCGCTCTTCTTTTCAACTGCGAAGACGCCCACCTCCACCCCCTCCTCCTGATCATCAATGAAATCGATCATGTTGGCCGAGCTGAGCCGCGACAAGAACTCCGCGTACGTGCTCGGCCGTCGTAGGAGGGGGTCCAGATAGGCTCGTTCGAAGCCGCCCTCCACTCGCCGAGCCTCGGCCTCGTGCTTAGGCAAGACCTTGGGCTCGAAAAACTTGCTGAGTCTCTGCTGCCCGCCTCGGCCCAGCAGACTCGCCAGCGGGCGCGACTGCGCGCCGGCGGCTGGCAGGCCGAGCAGGTCCACGCTCAGCGGGGCAAGGCTGACGGGCTCGCCGTCATCGTAGCCGCCCGAACCTCGGAGCTCCCGGGGGGCCGCCTGAGGCGTGAGATCGCCCGTCGACCACATGGCCGCACAGGCGCGTGCAAAACGTTCAAGGGCCAGCTGCGGCACGACCGTCGGCTTCCCGCCCGCGGGCACTCGGGGCGAGTCGGCCCCTGCACCCAGCTGGTTCAGCGCCGTCACCAGCTCGCGCATGAGCCCGTGCTGGTGTCGCCCCCAGCCGGCGTCGGCAGGCTCGCCCTGCCCTCTCTGCCGGCCCGGCGACCTGGTCAGAACGCGGCGCCTCTGGCAACGGCAGCGGCAGCAAGCCCAGCCACCTCGCCTCGGCGACCTCCCCGTCGCAGCTGCCCTCGGGGCGCAGACCAGGGCCCGCCTGCGCCCCCTCCCGCCAGGTCACCCCTGCTTCTCGGGCTTGCCACCCTTCGGGCGGCTGGTGACCTCCTCTCTCAGCTTCCGTGCGTTCTTGCGGACGGTGGCCACCCGCTCGATCTCCCTGCTGACGGTGTCGAGGACGGCCGGGCAGACCATGGAGGCGCTGCGGCCGTGGCCCATGAAGGCCAGCGCCTCCTCGGCGGGCACGCGCAAGTTCCCTTGCGCGGCCTCGGCCGCCCTCTCGTAATGGTAGCGCTCCACCAACTGCATCTTGCGGTACGCCCGCTCGACCACCGCCAGGTTGAACAGGTCGACCTGGTCGTGCGTGCCCAGCGCGTCCACCACCCGCGACAACGTCTCGTGGAGGTCGACGGCGTAGCCGGTAGGCTGGAGCCGCTTCCGACCGCGCCAGTTCTCGTGGTGGAGGACCGCTCCCCCGCCCCGCATCTGGCACTCCACACACCACTTCACGGCGCGCGGGCCGTCGACGAGGAAATCGGGCAGGCTCTCCTCCCGACAGTCGGAAACCAGCGAGCGCCAGTCGCGACTGCGGCCGACGCCCGTCGTCTGGACTGGCAGCACCCGCGCATCCACGCCTCGGTACTCCTGCCGGAACACTGGCTCCTCCGCGGGGCTCAGCAGCACGACCGACAGGAAGCCCCCGCTGGCCAGCCCTGCGATGCCGCGCCGTCCCTAGTGACCCATGAGGGAGGGTCCTCCTGCTGAGCCCACCGCCACCTCGTCGCCGAACCTGTGGGACCCGTCGCCCGAGTCCTCGGCCGACAGCCAGCGGAACCCGAGCGGCGCGGCCCCGCCCGCTGGCACGCCGGGGCCCGCGTCGTCGGGCACGGCGGTCCGGCCTCCTGCGCCAGGGGCGGCCGCGCCGACCGCCGGTGCCGCGGGCGCGGGGGGGGAAGCCAGGCGCCGCCGGGCCATGCACCAGGGAGGCGCCGCCAGGGCCCGCGGGCGGCACGTCCCCCGGGCCTCCTGGGGTGCCCGCCCCCACTGGCTCCAGCACGCCGCCCGCGGGGTTCACCGCCGGCCGTCCAGCCGCCCGCTCCCTCACGTAGAAGAGCCGTCGGGCCTCCGCCGTCGCCTCCGCCACCAACCCCGCCAGCACCGCGCCAGCAGACTCCGCGGCGAAGCGGCACACGTTGGCCCGCGGCACACCAGGGGGCGGCGGCCAGAAGGCGTTCGAGAAGCGGACGGCCGCGATGTCGTCCGTCCGCTGGCCGTAGTCCTCGAGGCAGACGTCCGAGTCGGGCGTCGCGATCAGGAACTCAAAGGTCCCCGACGACCCCGCGACATGGCCCAGCAGCCGACGTTGGTGCCAGAGGTTGGGGGGCCCCGAGTAGACCACGTACGCGAACGTCCCCGGGGCCGCCGGCAGCGCCAGGGCCGGCTGCGCCATCTCCCTGCTTCGTAACGAGCACCAGGACGGCCACGAGCAGCACCCCCGCCAGGAAACACGCCAGCCCAACTCCTGCGACCACGCCTGGGCTCCACAAGCCCGTCTCCAGGTTCGGCACTGCCCAGGGCGGCGCTGGGGCCGGCGCTCCAGGGCACGCTGGGATCGCCGGGCGCTCAAAGGCGGGGATCGCTGGCCACTCGAAGAGCGGGCAAGCGGGGCACGACGGACACGCGGGAGCGCTCGCAGCACGCCGCGTTCAGCAGCCAGCTCGACCCCGCCCAGCGTCCCAGCTCGACCCCGAATCCCCCGGCCAGCGCGAGCGCGGCCAGGGCTACCATCCCTGAGCAGGACGGCTTGAGCCAGAATGGCTAAGCGGACACGCAAGCTTCGGCCATATATATATATATATATATATACTAGAACCACGCGCGCGCTTCGCGCGCGCTGAGGTTCTAGCGCAGGCCAGGGAAGAATTACAACATATTGGGATCCTCTTGGTAGAGCAATTTTTTCAAGCCTTTTTTGGGTTCTGAGAGACTGGAGAGGCGAGAACGCGTAAACATCAAAAAACCACACAGAATGGCATGATTGGGCCTTCTTGGCGGCGCTCTTGGGATCTTTTGGGGCTCTTATGGGACCCTCGAAGGCAGTCCCGGAGCGCTATTGGGCAGACTTGGGAGGCCGGGGCCGTCTTGGGGCTCTCCTGGGGCCCTGTTGGGCCCTCTTGGGGGTCTCCTGTGGCACGCGCAGGGCTCTCTTGGGAGCCTTTTGGGCCTTTTGAGGCCGCTCTTGGGCCGTCATGGGGATCTCTTGGGCCGTCTTGGTGCTCTCTTGGGCCGTTTTGGGGCCCTCTTGGGGCCTCCGGGGCCGACTTGGGAGGATCTAGGGGGGCTTCTTGGGACGTCTTGGACGCTCTCGAGACCAAACAAACAAATATGCTAAAAATGAACGCTTTCCACAGGGAATGTGCCGATTGTTGCTTCGTGGGGGTCCTCGTTGGGGCCTCTTGGGGCGTTTTCGGGGCCTCTTGGGCCGTCTTGAAACCATCTAGGGCACTGGGAAGTCATCTTGACCAGTCCTGGGGACCCTTTGTGGCGCTTTCGGGTGCTCTTGGCAACCTCGTTGGGCAGTCTGGAAGCCATCGTGGGCGCTCTTGGAGCGTCCCAAGGGCTGTCTTGAGCGGCCGGGGAGCGGCCGAGGAGGCCCCAGGGGGGGGTGGACCCACATTAGGGGTTCGAGGCCGTGGTTTCCGGGCCCCGATGTCCTTCCCTGGGTAGATGTATAAATACATATACATATACATATATATATGTATATATATATATGTGTGTATATATACATATATATATATATATGCATATACATGTGTGTGCACTGGCAAAAAAAAAAAACACCGTCGTACATTGCCAGGGGCTCTGCTATAGAACAGTGGGCCGTCGGGCAAAAACCACAGCGCCGGAGAGGGGGAGGACGGAGCGAGCAGAGAAGGGCGGACAGAAGCAGACAGGAGCGAGACAGAGGGCAGAAAATCCACCCCGAAAATAACCACCCCGACACGCGAGGCCTTTAGTAAACGCGCGCAAAGAAGGAATCGAACAGAGCAGGGCTGTTTAATAAACGCCCAGGGCCGTCAAGTAAACGCCAATTGTCCGGTCCGAGTGGTTTTTAATCCCTTGAACAGGGGCGAGACAGGCCAGACCCTCGTGGGGCTCCCGCCTGCTCTCCAGCTGGAGCGGCCTGGAGCCTTGCGAAGGTTTCTGGAGGTCTCCAGGGGCTCCTGGAGGCCTCAAGGCCCAAAGACAAACGCGTTCATAAACATCGTCCTCACAAGCCTCCTCGAGGATCGACGGCGGCAACATAGACGACGTCGACGACGTTCCTGTCCACTCCCCGTTCGCCAAAACCAGGATGCACCCCCCCCCACCGCCTCTCCCTGCACTCCTCCGTATAAACTCATCCCTGGACGACGATTTGGCCTGGTGCATGCTTGTCACGTTCTGGGGCCCTCGGACCTGTTCTGGGCTGGATGTTTGCAGTGTTCTGCCTCTGGTGGCCGCTTTCGGGCCCTGGAGCCTACGATCAAACAAGTTGTGCGGGAAGGGGTCGCAATGTCAGGGAACCCCGAAGTGGAAAAAACAAAAACAAAGGATCTCTGGTCCTCCTCCGCCCCATGGATTTGTCTGCTTGTTTGGCGGAGGCGCGCGCGCGAGGGGGCCGTGGACCCTCCTTGATCAAGTTCATGGAGGCGAAGGAGCGCAGTCTCTCCAGCACCTGGCGTCGCCGAAGGAGCGGAGGGGCAAGCGGTGGTGGGCGCCACGGAGCGCGGACCTTGCAGTCGGCCTGCGCGGCGCGCTCGGCACACCAAGGCGTCGTCATCTCGACGCTCTGAGAAGGCCTTCTCCTCCTCACTTCCAACCCTCGCTCTCCGGCGATTTGAGGTACTCGCGGAAGACAAGGGGCTCTGGTTGCCTGGGGGGCCCTGCTCAACATGGCCTCCCGCCGCTGCCGCGCCTGGCCCAGCGCGGTCGTGCCTGCTGCCGTACCCTGTCGCGCCTCACCCCGCAGGGTGGCATCGCCTCGCCGCGACCAGATGGGCGACGATCAAAAACGGGTCCTACGCGAGATGGCGTGGCGACCTTACGCGGTGGCTTACGCGGGCCGCTCCCGCGACACGCCACACTGGAGACGAGGGCGCTTACGCGCGACCTTGCGCGGGCAGCTTACACACCAATGTCGGCGCAGACGACCCCTTGTACTTTTTGGCGTCGCTCGCATTGGTGACCTGAACTTCGAGCCGCGCGGCGCGTGAGGCGCGAGGCGCGACTACATTCGCGCCCCCAGGCAAGGCTATCACACATCCTACCGTACCATGACGCGCCTCGCCTCGACCACATGGGTTATCACATTGGTGACTCGAACTTCGCGCGACGCGGCGCGTGGCGCACCGCTCCCTTCGCGCCTTCGTGCCGCGTCCCTTGGAGACCGCAGCCCTCCGGCCCACGCAGCAACGCGCGTTCACCTGCACGCCCCTGCGAACATTGCGAAGATGAGGACTTCGCCAGACCAATCCCCGCCGTGCCAAACCTTGCGATAAATCTGATCTTCGCTGGCCCACCTTCAACGCAACGACAACTGACGACAGACGGCAGGGGCCGTATGGGCGGCGCGCAAGCTCGACCACGCTGCCGACGACGACGACGACGACGACGACGACGACGACGACGACGACGGCCACAACCACAACCACGGCAACGACCACGACGACGACGACGAGTCCCAGCCCCATGAAGGCGGCCCAACGGCGGCCACCCCGCAGACCGACGGCAACGACAAGGCCGCCCTCGAAGGCCGCACCTCGGCAGCCCGACGACGCCTGCGGCACGCCGCGCTGCGGCGGCCGCGCGCCACTGGCGCCGCCGACGGCCGCTTCCACGGGCCATCGCTCGGACGTCCACTTCCCGTGCATCTTTCGGCTTCGCGCGTGTGCTTTTCGCGAAATGATCAAGGATGCTCCTCGATGGTCCTCGCCGAAGGAAAAATGCACACATCCGAGCGATGCCACGTTCCACGGGCGCGGCAACGCTTGGCGGCGCGCACAAGGGAGTGGAGGGAGGGGGGAGGGCTTCTTAGAACGGGGGGCGCTTCTCAGAAGGCGCTGGCTCCACATCTATGGACGAGGCCCGCGCCTTCTAAGAAGCAGGGGTGCTTCTGAGAAGCCCTCCCCCCCTCCCCCCACCCCTTTGGACGCCCGAAATGGGTACTGAAAGAATGGGCACTATGCCCAACAACAAATGTTGTCCCAAGCCAACAGCGGCCGCTGTTGGGCAGGCGACCTTCTGTCTCGAATGGACACAGGCTGCGGCGGCGCGGACAGCGAATCCTGTTCAAAATGAACAGGAATTGTTGTTGGGCATTTTACCCATTCTTTCGGTACCCATTTCGGGCGTCCAGAACCCCCCTCTGCGCGTGGCCGAAACGCGGCGGCGGTGGCCGGCCGCGGCCGCGGCCGCGGCTGGCGGCCCTCGGCGGCGGGAGAGCGGGCGGCCGCCGGCGGCCTCCACGTCGATATCGCGCGCGAGGGCGTGCAGGCCCCCGCTGCGCCCCTGCAGCCACGGGTGGCCCAGCGCCTCCTGCCGCTCGGCGGCGGACAAGCCTCCCTTTACGAAGGGGCCCCAGGACACACAAAGAAGTGCACACGAACAAAAGGATTCTCCACCTTTTCCTATATGTTCTGGGTTTTTGTCTTCCCCCCCACTTCCCATATTTTCCTATATTTTCCTGGGAGTCGACGATTATTTGTGTCTGTGTTTCTTTCCCTCCTGACTTTAGTAAACCGCCCCCCAGTGAACACGGCCGAGGACCGAAACCGACGGACCTGGGCCCGCAAAAATGACGGCCGCGACGCCCCCTCGCGAACCAAAAACGGCCAATGCCTTAATCGACGTGTCGGGATAGGAGGTCTATCCACCCCCGAGCCGCCCCGGAGGGGCACGGGTCTCGCGGCGCTTCGGCCGTCGGCTGACCAGCTAGTCGGTCGTCTGTCGGTGGTCTGTCGGCCGTCGGCCGTCGGCCGTCCGCTGTCCGCCGTCGGTCGGACGTCAGCCGTCCGCCGTCCGCTGTCCGCCGTCGGTCGTCGGTCGCGGTCGCATTCGTACTCATCGTCGTCGTCGGTCAGCGTGCCGTCGTCGGCCGTCGGTCGACGGAGTCGTAGATCGTGGGGCGTCGACGGTTCTCGTCAGTCGGTCGTCAGGGAAGGGATGGGGGAAGCGAGGGAGGAGGGAGGATGGAGGGGGGGCTCTCCTCCGCGAGCGTCGAACGAGTCTGTACGCCGCACGCCAGTGGACACCCACCCTCACTGTTCAGAAGGTGAAGCGCGACGAATCTGTACGCCTCTTCCTCCTCGTCATGTTCCTCCTCCTCCTCCTCCTCCTTCTCGTCCTCCACCTACTTATCCTCCCTCCTCCTCTCTATCCGATGCCCTATCCTCCTCCTTCTCCTCCTCCCCCTCCTCCTCCGTGTCATCCCCATGTGGTCCTCATCATCCTCCTCCTGCCTCTCCTCCTGATTATCCTTGCCCTCGGTATTCCGTTCCTCCTCCTCCTCCTCCGCCGCATGTGCGCCTTTCAGCTGCATGAGTGACTTTCTGAACGGGTGGCACGTCGTAATGGGCAATACTCGGTTACGTCTCGGGCCCCCTTCCAGACAGATAGTGCCCGAGAGGCTGTATTGCACACCACTTTAAAATCAGGGCGACTTCGACACTCGGGGATTGAAGGTCGAAACTCGCAAAACAAAACAAAAAAAAACATAAAAAAACTCCTCCTCCATCTCCTTATCC